GCAACATTGTTGAAATTGGTGAGGAAATTCGGAGACGGAGAAAAAATGTCGAAGTTGAGCGTGGAAGCGAATATGACAGTTTCCAGGTCACCGGACTGCGCGCTTTCACCAGTTATCTTGTTTACGCTTCTGCCTGTACTATTGTTGGGTGTGGTCCTGAGAACAGGGTACCGGTAGTAGTATTGACACCTGAAGATGGTAAGCTAATGCGCTAAAAATGAGGAAAAGCACGCTGAATATATTTACTTTTTTCAGTTCCCGATGTTCCCACGGGCGTTTCGTTCTCACTGATCAGTGAAAATGAAGTTCGCTTAAAATGGACACCGCCAGAGAATCCAAATGGAAAGATCAAGGTGGGTAGGCTTCTTCTTAGGACTGATGAAAGGAAAGCTCAAATGTTAAGAATCTCGATTGTGCTACATCATCACTATCAATTAGCCATTTTAGCTGTTTTTAGTCTAAGTATACTGCAAGGTTTCAATCTAGCAATTTTCAGTCCTATTACGTCTCTTACTGGAAGTCATCTGAAGATAGATCATCGGCCATTAGAGCCCCACTGTCTTCAACGCTTCTATTCTTTACAGCTAATGGTAAATTACCTACAACAATTTCCACCACCGCATTTCTTGCTACTACATACGAACTTTTCAATAGGTCTGGAGCCGAACAAGAAGTACACCTTTACGGTGCAAGCTGAGAACTCTGTAGGCTTGGGTCCTGAAGCCTTAGTAGAGGTAGTAACAACTTCAGTGAGAGGTAAGCGAAAGGAATCCTTTTGTTCACCTTTTTTCTTTGAGCTGTAGATTTTTGAATATGACAGCTGAGTACGTCCTTACTCTAGTTAGATTGACGATAAAATAATCAACATCCTTTTATGAGGAAAATTTTAGAAGGAAGTAGTCGATGAGTGAGTAAACTCCCCATCACTTCTATTCACTACTTACAGTACCGGTACATGCTCCACCAATGCCAACAAGGAACGATACAGCTAGATATGGGGCTGAAAATATCGCAATTCGTTGGGACACTGAGCCGGCTAGGGAGGACGATGATGCACCAGTGCGATTCGTGCAGGTTTGTTTTTTTCTTTGTAATGGATTGGACTTTTGTTTGGATACAAATTTTCTGC